GCCGTGCCCTCTCAGGGTGCAAGCGGCAGCAGGAGCCACTCCCCCCCAGGAGCTGCAGCTTTGCCCCGCCCCCCCCAGTCCACCTGAGCAGCGCCTGCCGCAGCCCCCTCCCATACTGTGGGGGGCATTGATCTGCTCCTCCCAGGCCCCTGCCCTCTCCTCGCCCCTTCCATTACACCAGACTTACCAGCTGGAGGCAGCTCTCCATACTGCCGGCTGTGCTCCTCACTCCCTGAGTGCTGCACTCCAGCTGCACACAGCACAGTCATCTTTCGGCCCAATTATCAGCCCCATCAGGCTGATATCCGATACAGCCAGTTTTCTTTATATGTGTACTGATCCGATATTGGACCGATGTATCAGTGCTCCTCTGGTATCCGGTTTATGTCCAAAATGACTGGCTAACGCTTGTTAAAAACTACCATTGTTTACCTAGACTTATGCTTGAAACAGAGCATAAACACTTTTTTCCTTAGCTCAGTTGTTCAATATGGACAAACATAGACTTGTAGGATCTTCAAAGAGGAGAGGGACCTGCCGCTCAGAACCTGTTATGCTATAACTATAGCAAAGCTGTTCCAGTTTTAACCCTGCTTCATCCAGGGTTGACATTGAGGCAATTTAGCTTGCTAGTATACAGGCACATACAGATATAACATTTACAGCATAAAAGCTGCTGCTCACTCCCAAGCAGCAATTCCTCCTCTTCCTCTTTTGAAGTGGCTACAAGTATTTATCCATTCCTTGAGTCCTACTGAGGATGTTGTATACAGTCTCTTGTGTTCCTAGTCATAATTCATTTTTTTCCATCTTGACAATTGATTTTTTTGTTAAATATAATTTTCCCTGTAAAATATTATTCTGGAAGTACTAAGAAACAAGAGTGTAAATGTCCTGTTTCAATAAATCTCTTAAGGCTTTTTTCTATCCTACTTATAATATCTATACAGTGTACATGTGTGTGTGTACTGTTTATTGGCATTATACATTATTATTATAAATGTGTACATTATAATACTATGAAATGTTTTGGTCAGACTTCCCCTAATAATGCTATCACTTTGTTTTCCAGAATGTCTGCTTCATTTTTCCTCAGTTTTTATATCAATTCTTCTGTGGATTTTCACAACAGGTTAGTCAAACATTCAATTTTTCTACTTATTCTAAACCTGTTTTTTAACCTTTTTTTAATTGAAAGCAATTTGTCCTTATTCTCGTTGCAGTAAGTAGGCAAGAAAACAACTATTTTGAACTTCTCTAAGGAAGAATATCATGTTTGGTTAGCGCAGCTATCAGTGGTCGTTGCAGTCATGCTAATAAAATGAAGTAGATGAATTTTATCAAAAAGCTCATGTTTATTTTTTGAGTCAAAGATATAATGGAAAACCAAGCTCAAAACTACTCATGAAAAGTGAAATCTCTGGAAAATTTGCAATTCAAACTTTGTCTTAAGATTTCACTCACCAAAAGGAGAAAGTTGTTTGATGGGTATGGATATGAAGCAACAGCTTGTCTTTAAAGTAGGAATGAGGGTGCAGGAGACAGCTGACTGGTTTCTAGGGTCTTCTGAAGCTGAGCCTGAGACCTCATGCTAAATTAAATCAGTAGTAGGAAAAGAAAAGCAAACACAGGGATTAAGGGAAAAGGGGCTTGATTACCACAAATAATAAATCAGCACTCTGGAGTGGGCATAAACATCTTTCCTTTAAATTCTTGTTTCTTTGCTCAGCTGCTGCTGCTCTCAGTCACTCCATGTGTCCAATTAAGTTAAACTAGTAGGTTATCTCCTCTCTCCTGATGTGAGTGGAAGAAAATAAATTAATGGTTGTAGAAAAAAAGGGAGCATCCCTTCTACCACACAAAGCTCCTGCAAGATAAGAAACTGAGTGAAACTAGCTTGAGGAACACACTAAAACCTATCTAACATTTTATGAAGCTTTGTCTGATTAGCATGTGGTAAAGGAATTTGGCTGGTAACGTTTCTCATTTTTCCCTCCTAAATTTAGTGGGTTTTTTACATTTAAAAACAACAAGTGTTAGTCTCTAACTCAGCTCCACCTTCAAGCTGATAAGTAGCACTTATGTGGCTAACTCAGGGGGATCTGAGTTCTGGCACTGCGGTGTATCCATTTCATCCAATGTCTGGTAAAAGCACAACGCAGAAACACCATTGAGGGCAGATACTGGGACAAGAGTCAGAATCCATCCCCCCCTGTTTTCCATCTCACTAAACCATGCTTCCTCTGGACACATCTTGGCTTCCTAGTATGCCAGCTTCAGCAGGCAGCTAGAGGATGCTATTGGCTCTCCATTTCATATCCTGGTGGTTAGGACAGTTTGCTAAGAATTAGGAGATGTGGGTTCAAGCCTTTTTCCTGAGGGGAGCCTGGAATAGCGATTCTTACAGCAATTCATTACAGCCACTCAGGCAGCAATGATGTGGTTCTTTGTGGAAACATTGGAGTACAGCGACACTTCCTGCCATGGCACTGCCCATCATCCCCCTTCATTATGTGCGTAAGGAGAGTGGGAATGTGATGGCTGTGCCAGAAAGACAATCTTCAGTTGCCCAGTTAAGATACCTTTACAGCCACTTGTACACAGCTAGAATAGAGCAAGAGCCACTCAGGCCACTGAGTGGTATAGGCCACTCAGTTGTCAGCTGCAGAGCAATCTGGATATACCCAGATGGTGTATAACCGCTAAGCCATTGTTCATGGATGGCATGTGGGGATTTTAATTCATGACTGCACTTTTGTGACTCTAAACAAGTTAAATCCTTCCCTTTAAATCACAATACAATTTTTTTTTTGTTAAAAATATGGCTAATATAACATCTTTTTTCCCTATCTGCAGCCTTTATATGATACTGCATACCTTACGCTGTACAATATCAGCTTCACTTCCCTTCCCATCCTTTTGTACAGTCTACTGGAACAGCATATTGGGGTAGACATGCTCAAGAGAGAGCCTACCCTGTACAGGTAAAGCTAATAACTTAGCCCCAATTTTTGTGGCTATTTAGGTGTGATTCACTTCTGATTCAGTATTTCTGTTGCAAAGGATAAGGACAACTTCAAATAACAGTCACATGTGCTGCAACTCAAATGCTGCAAACATGGTACTATTGTGATGTTTTGAAAAAGACTGAACATATGATGCATGCATAACAGCGCGCAATACAATAAAGATTATTTGGCATGTATATTATGTGTATGTTTAAATAGCTGTATATGCACTGTATTGGAATGAGAGCTAAGAATTGTAGAAGAATATTGCACCTATATATTTTAAAATGTTTTAGTTTAGTATTTAATATTGTTCTTTACAGTTGGAGGGCAAAAAATTTCCTAGAAAAAACACACATCATAACACCTATTTAAAATCTTTTTGTTTGAAATGAAAGGGAGACTGTGCTGTAATCTCCCCCTCTCTTTTCCCCTGGATCTTGCCTTTGTTGGACTCCAGTTCCACCAGTGAGCTCCTTGCCTTTTGCTGAAATTAGTAGTATTTGGTGCAACTAAAACTCAGATCTAGCTTCTATGGCAGCATCTTGTTTTTCACAGTAGGTACATGTGTACTAGTTTTTCACTTGAACCTTTCATGTGCCCCATAGTTATTTTTGCTGTTTGCAGATAAGCCCAATGTATTTCACTCTGCCAGATACTATCAGGTATATGTGCTCCAGGATCCTTTCTGCAATGAATCTGACATGGTTGACTGCATACTGTTCACTATTGCAGTGCAATAATGCTAAGACTATTTTAGATTACTTGTCTCAGCCAACTGGATTGCTGTCTCTGCCAGTAAACAGTATTTGGCAGTCTACATTAGGAAGAGTGCCCAGTTTGATTGCTGGAGCTGCAAAGCTAGTGTATTATTTTGAGGGCAGTAATGGCAGATGCCCAAAGCGGGGAAAAAAGATGGTTTTTTGCAATGGTAATACTGGTTCTCTAAAAAATAAACATTTAAAAGTAATGTGAACTTCAGATATTTACTTCACAGTTGAATGAATGCTTATGTTCTAAGGGGAATACCATATATGAGCATTGAAAGCGCAAGCACTTTCTTGCACTTCATATTTTTAACTAAAATTTATATTTTTTTGGAGTGTGACCTTTTTATCTATGTCTTGAAAGCACAGTATATCCAGCCATATCCATCAGATATTCTTGTCTGAGCTTATTATCTTAAGCCACATGATACTATTTTAGCTGTTCAGAGTAAGACATTTTTTGGTAAAAAATACTATTGAGGTAGGGTAATTTACTATTGCGGTAGGGACATTATTTAAATGGTCATAAGGCAGAGTTTTTAAAATGTGTCTGGGTGAAAATACTAAATGAAATAATCAATGTTGAAAAGTGAGACAGTAAAGAAGGGCTCATTTCCATCAGCTGTGTATACTGATATAATTCAGAATGATGTCTGTACGTGCACACATGCACACGCACACACTCTACTGTCTATATCCAGTTTTGCTCTGAAACGTTTATCATAAGGCAGATCCCAATTACCTGTGAATGAGAACTAGGCATATACACATTTGTATGCAATGAGAGAATTTACTTCAGCAAATACTTTTGTTTGTTAAACTATCAGAGTTTCTCTAAGAAAACATTATGTTAATACTCTTTGGGTAGAAGTGATTCCATCACAAAGTCCTGATTTTTAAAGTTGCATACAGTAGGCGTTTTCTTGTTGCACTCTTTGTCTTTACAAAGTAAAAAGGAAAGAAAGAAAAGCCTTGAGAGACCTCTAGTGTTCCTGTTTATTACATATATGGAGTCATCAGTATGCAACAAAAACTTGTGTTTTGTACAGGTCCCGTCTCTGAGATCTAAACTGAACTCATGCAGCAGAAATACATAATATACTATCAGAGTGAGACTTGGCTGAACTATAGCCAGTAAGCAGTCATAAAAGTTTAGACAGGAGAAAACAATTTAAGGAAAGCTTTTAATGTCAAAGTGGTAGAAACTTGCCAAATGTGAAGAAGTTCTTCCAACTATGTTCTTTTCATTTTCTCTTCTTATATAATAATATGACTGCTTTTATTTCTTGGGGTTTTTTTAATATATCAATACATATATCTTGTTTTACTCAGGGATATTGCCAAGAATGCTCTTCTGCGCTGGCGTGTGTTCATTTATTGGACATTTCTGGGAGTGTTTGATGCTATGGTATTTTTCTTTGGTGCCTATTTCTTGTTTGAAAATACATCTGCTAGCAGCAATGGACAGGTTAGTATTGAGATCAAAATAGACATGAGAAATAAAAAAAATAAACTAATTTTTAAAACCTCAAATGTTCTGTCATCACTTACATAGGCTTAGTTCATTAAATTAAACCCACTGTTGTCACGAAGGCTTTTTTTAGTAGACACAACACTTTTTTGTATATTTTTGTAAGTTAGAAAAGTTGTCCGTAGTTAGCAAAAATAATAGCCAGTATATTGGTAACCAGCTGTATGTGAGTAGAAGATAGCTATGTAGTGCCAAAAGTTATATCTTAAATCTTGTATGTCCGTTAATGTAAATGATTAACATATTACTCATCAAAAGCTGGTTAATTAGACTTCTTTAACGCAGACTTTTTTAAGGTTGCTATTTTGATACCATAGTGATAAATGTCATGCAAGAACTTAATAGAATAGAATTACATGAATTCTTCATAGTAGAATTACATAACTGTTTAATATTTTACTTTTTAAAAATAAACAATTAAGTCATATCTACCTACTTTACAGTGACATGAATACAAAGTTTAAGGACCTTTTGCATTTCATTTATTTACACATTAATACTTTTGGTCTATTTTATTTGTGTCTTGCTTTTTTTTTTTCCTTTTTGCTACTTGCTTCTCTTCCTATCCTCAGCTAATGACAGCCAACACTCACATGGTAAGATTACTATGGTTTTGTCATGATGTGCTAGACTTCTAACCCGCTTTATAGAAATATTAGTTGTTGCTGCCTTTTAATTTCTCAGAAATGTTAAAAAAGTGATTGTATTAGCAATCCAGTAATTTTTTTTTCTTTTTCTTCTTTTTGCTTTTGATAGTAGGCATATTCTGTTTTCTTTTGCATTTTATTCCTTTTTCATCAGTGCTTCCCACTCAGCCTACTTTATCCTATTGAAAACTTATAGGCAATTATTACAAATTATAATATCCGGTATTTCTCCAATTTGGTTTTTTTTTTGGCTTTTTACCAAATTGTAAGATAAACTTAAGTGTTCAGAATTTGTCTTTTTTAATTATTACTAAGTTATTTAGAGACATTGTATGCAAATATCATGGAAATTTTGACATCTTTGAATGTGAAAAGCTAAATAAATGTGTGAGTAAAAATAATTTCTTACAAAGGTTACTTATAAATTCAAAGAATTCCCTTCAGGGACTGTTGTATACTGCAGCAGTTCTGTTTCCCTTAACTATGTTCAGCTATTAAATGCTGAACTTTCTGTGTAGTTTCATTTTGGCGCACACAGATATTTTATCCTTTTCATAGCTGTCAGAGTAGCATAATCTCTTCCAGTTGCCAGCTGCACTAATCTCAAAATTGTCAAAGTTATGTAACTACATTAATACTTAAACATCAAAATAAGCAGCCTAATGAGAGGTACTATATTTATTTGAAATCAGCAGAAGTTTGGGGAAACTTAGACCCTTTGAAATGCTGTGTTGCCGGTCTTTTATGCAAGTCTGAATATGGAATTTTAGTTCAGAGTTTAGGCTTGTGAGGTTTGAAAATGTTGGCCATCAGGAGGAGTCAGCAATATATGTAATCTCCTCCTGTGTGAACAGGGCCCTCGGACCCCTGGTCCGTCAGCGGTACTCAGTATATACTAATTAACTTGCCAGTAAAAGTTTCTCTGAACAGTTTACAGTATCATTTCAGTGTTATACAATTCAAATAAAAATCAGGTGGGGGGGGGAGAAGAGACAAGGGCAACAGTCATGACACAAAGTTATACTAAATGGTCCACCTCAGATTCCAAGCAGTTTGAATGCTTCTTGCATCAGAACATGTTCTTGGTTTTGTTTTTATACCAATCTGCACTGTCACCAAAACTATTAAACTGGGAGGAAGGGTAAACTAAGTCACAAAAAGGCAGCTTATAAGAAGTGGAAACTTGGACAAATAAATAGGGGGGAGTATAAGAGCATTGCTCAGGCATGCAGGGATGAAGTTGGGAAAGCCAAAGCCCAAGTGGAGTTGCAGCTAGCAAAGGACATAAAGGGTAACAAGAAGGGTTTCTACAAGTATGTTGGTAGCAAGAGGAGGATCAGGGAAAGTGTGAGTCCCTTACTGAATGGGTGAGGCAACCTTGTGATGGAGGATGCAGAAAAGGCTGAAGTGCTCAATGCCTTCTTCGCTTCAGTCTTCACAGACAAGGTCAGCTCCCAGACTACTGTACCAGGCAGCATGGTTTGGGGAGGAGGTGAGTAGCCAACAGTGGCGAAAGAACAGGTTGGGGACTATTTAGAAAAGTGGGACATATACAAGACCATGGGGCCAGACAGGATGCACCAGATGGTGCTGAGGGAGTTGACTGATGCGATTACAGAGCCACTGGCTATCATCTTTGAAAACTCGTGGCAATCAGGAGAGGTCCCAGATGATTGGAAAAGGGCAAACATAGTGCCTATATTTAAGAAGGGGAAAAACAAACATTCAGGGAACAACAGACCAGTCAGCCTCATCCCAGTCCCTAGAAAAATCATGGAACAGATCCTCAAGTAATCCATTTCTAAGCACTTAGAGGAGATGGTGGTGGTTAGGAACAGTCAGTATGGATTCACCAGAGGTAAATCATGTCCAACCAACCAGATTGCCTTCTATGATGAGGTGACTGGCTTTGTGGATGCAGGGTGACCAGTGGATGTGGTGTATCTTGATTTTAGCAAGGCTTTAGATACAGTCTCCCACAACATTCTTGCAGGCAAGCTAAGGAAGTATGAACTGGATGAATGGACTGTAAGATTGATAAAAAAACTGGCTGGGGCATCAGGCTTAGAAGGTAGTAATCAATGGTTCGATGTCTAGCTGGCAGCCAGTATCAAGAGGAGTGCCCTAGGGGTTGGTCCAGGGGCCAGTTTTGTTCAATGTCTTCATCATTGACCTGAAAGATGGCATAGAGTACACCCTCAGCAAGTTTGCGGATAGCACCCAAGCTGTGGGGAGTAGATTCATAGATTCATAGATGTTAGGGTCGGAAGGGACCTCAATAGATCATCGAGTCCGACCCCCTGCATAGGCAGGAAAGAGGGCTGGGTTTA